CGGTCCAGATTTCCTCACTTTGTGGATAACTCCGCCTCCCTCCGCCGATAATGTAATTATAGTTTTCAGCTTTAACAGAAAGAAGGCTCTAGAAATTACCGGAAAAAGGAGAAAGCGGCGGCGTGGAGGAGCCGGCCGGCGAAACCGGCGGCGAACCGTACTGATAACCTGGCGGCTTTACGATCATAATTCGTCTGGAAACTTTAAGTGGCTCCTCCGACGAGGACGGCGGCGTTCCTTCCTCGTAACTCTTCCCATTGGATTCTGCCCAACACCATTAAAGCCAAATTTGAGTTAATTAAACTCTTTTTAAGTTAATTAAATTAAAGTTGAAATTTTTATAAAGCGAAATTTGTAATGAAATTTGTGGTTTTAAATTATGGTCCGTGGCGGCGTACCCTTGACGGCGGTGGACCGGGAAGTGAAGGATGGGTGCTTGCGGAGCTTTCCCAGACCAGAGTCCGGCATCGGTCCGGCAAGCGTGTCGTCCCACAGCTGGTCCAGTAGCCCCATGATGGAGAGAGAGAGAGAGAGAGAGAGAGTTCCGATGAGAAAAGGGTCAGAGAGAGTGAGGCGATAGGGGAGCGGTGGAGTGAGTTAAAAGGAGGAGGAGGGCGTTAAATGTCGAACATGTTTGTTGAAAGATCTAAACCGTTGGATTCGATCCAAGAGGGAAATGGTGACGTGGCAAGTCCATAGAATAGGCACGTATTGTGGATAAGATCGACGAGGAGAGAAGGTGATGCCAAAAGTCAGGGTGGTGGGACCCTGTGACGTCATCTCACGTGACTCGAAAATTCAGTGTGGCTGCTTACTACTTTATTATTTTTTTTTTTTTAAGGATAATTGTGGCTGCTCATAAATCATAATTAAATATTATAATTAAATCTCTCCGTTTAATTATAATATTAATCTTTTCAATTAAAAAATTTATAAGGAGAGGTAAAATATTTCGTGATCTACTCTTATATAAACTTATTGTATAAGATACTCCACTTATATGTCTCGACATAAATGATTTGAATCAAATTATTTATACAATAAGTTTGAATAAATCTGGACTAAGAAATATTTAATCTCATTTTATAAATTTATTAATTAAGAAAATTAATTTTTCATACGATAATCATATATGACTTGATCTTAATCCTAAGTGGGTTATGAACTCTTGTTTGGGAAAGCTTGCTCTTTGATTTGCATGAGCGGGAATGACTTTGTAGTCGATTATATGTGTCTATCATTTTAGAGACTTGACAAAATAGGAACTTGGAACATCTTACGAGATGAAATTTACTTCTTCGGTAATTAGATAGATGAAATTTACTATGGAGCTCTACCCTCACGCTGGCTAGATGGAGACTTAATTTGTGGTTGAATTATAAACAAATTGTTCATCAGATGATCAATAATACTTAAGTTCTAAGATGTAATTATATGTGCTTCACCCTCTCGTTACCCTATATGTCCTATAAATATAGAACTTAATATATACGCTAAAATGGACATAAATACTGTAGGTGAGTTGAAAAACATAACTATGAAATATACTGTAGGGGCATTGGTTGAGTTGAAAGACATAACTGGGAAATCATGATGTTCATAACTGCTCTTGAAGTCAGATGTTCTCTTTGATCCTCATTTGATGATATCTTAACCTCAAGTTAATCTTGGAGAATTCTATTGCACCCTATAACTGATCAAACAAATCGTCTATATTGCACCCTCATTTGCCCTCTTGGTCATAATCGCATGGACTACTGCTTCCCTTGTTACTAAGCTCTTTGATTTCTTTGGTTCTATCCTGTCATCGGTTGACATCCTGATATTTCTTGTGTGGGTACTCTACTACTCAGTGACCTAGTTTTCCACAACTAAATCATCTTATGATGCCCACCAAGCACTCACCCTCGTACTTGCGGCCGCACTTAGGGCATGCTGTTGTACCCTAACGGTGAATCTGGCCATGGTTATCTAAGCATCCACAAAAATGTTTCTTAAACCTAGAGAGGTTCCTATCTGACCTCGAGGGAGCTTGGGTAATCTTTGTCTGCTTATCTTTGCATTTGTGCATATCCACGAGGGTAACAATACATAATGTATCGACATATGTAATAACAAGAGGCTCCTACAGGTATTTCTAAAGGAAATACAAAATTAGTTACTTACCCATTCCGTTTGGGACCTTGGTTCTTGTAACCTAGATACTTAAATCTATCCAAATTTTCTTGTATAGAACCTATAGGGTGTGGACATTAAGGAACCAAAGAGAATTAAGTGAGAATTGACTTGAAAATAGGTTAAATAATAAAAAATTATTTGGGTTAGTGTGGGTGACCGGGCTAGTTCAACTGAATCGGCCACATCATTGTCTACAACCTCAAAACAGAGGAAAAACTTGTATAGACTAGGTGCAATAACTGAACGTTACCTTTTCCTACCTTGCATAATGGTTATCTGCCTCTGCTTTCTTCTTCACAATATTAGAGGGAGTGTCGAGAAAGAGTTTGAAGCTAGCCTTCTGGTTTTTTATTCATCATGGAAGAAGTTACGGGCTTAGAACAACCCCTAAAAATTAGCCTCTTTGTCGGAGCTCTGCTTCATTTATAACCCAAGCTTCCACCGACTTTGAGAGCTCTAGAATCACCTTGAATCTAGAGTTGAATTCTCAATATCTTTTGTTGAAATTTTTTTTTCCATTCAGGCCCTTATTGATATCAAATTAAAATTTTCGCTGTTGGGTGCCTCTCGGCAGAGCTTCTTAAGTAATATCCAATTTTGCAAATGATGTGGACGGTTGAATTTTTCACTAACGTTTTTTTGTTATGTTCGTTTTACGTAGATAGTTTATGAGTATCTTGATGCAATAATGATGTAATAAATTATTAGTGAAGGATTAATATTTTAACAAGACCCCAAAATTAATATTATAATTTATTTAACTTCACACTACATTGCTTTCAAGATTGATGAGGATAAGATGTGACTTGAAAGCCATGTAAAGAAAATGATATTTATTTTTTATTTTTATTTTGCTCACATAATTCAGAAAGTTCATTTTAATAAATAATTATTGATTCAAAACATTTGTCATTAAATTGATCTAAGGAGAATTAAATATTTATATTTATTTTAATTAATTTATTTTATGCAATGATTTTTTTATTAGATTCTACATAGTCATTTATCACAAAAATTTGTATTATTTTGATGAATGAAGTAATAATATATATTAGTTGGTAGCATTAATTAATTATATTTAATTTTAGAATATACCTAACATTTATTTAATAAATTGATAATATAATATATCATCATTGTAAATATCAATTAAACTTTTAAAATTATTTATTAAAATATTGAAATTATTCGAAAAGATAATTAAGTATCCGATTTTGTATTTTTTTTAAAATTTAAGAATTTATTAAATAAGAAATTAAAACTTTAAAAAATTAAGAGAAAATAAATAATAAATAATAATAATAAAGGGGAGCAAATGGGTCAGGTATGGGCACTGAGGATAGAGAAAGATACACGAAGGGTACAGGTGGCGTTTAAAAGAGTGGGGCCACCAGTGGCCGCTCACGTGATGCATCTCTTTTGGTTTTCCGAGGTGGCATAAAACAACAGTAAAAAGGCAGCTAGTTTGAAGAAATTACATGTAGTGCCATTGTGACAGCTTCAATAATTGAAAGCCGCCATTATCACTCAATTTATCGCGATAACAACTCTTTTTCTCCTTTCACTTTCCGTCTCGGTCTTCTATTATATTGAACTTTTTTTTTTTTTTTTTTACGCATCAATTAATTATGATTAAATTACTAATTTGATTTTCTGACATTTATCCATATTTTAAAATTACAAAATTTATAAGAACTTTAGGATTAGCAATATCCATTTTGTCTCTACTTCGCTTTCATATCTAAATAAATCTTAGACTTTAAAATTGAGATGACATTTCAAGTACTGATTTTACTTCTTTACCCTTATAATTTCAAAATTATAAAAATATATTGCTAAATAAATTCAAAAACCGGAATATTATTCATAATATATTAATTAAGGAATGAAAATTAAATTAAAATTTAGTTAATTATAGTTATTTTAATAATTTCATTTTAATACCAATAAACTAACAGATAACTATTAATTATCTCTAATTAATTATTGTATTGACAAACCAAACAAAAATATGATTGTAATTTCACTTCATTTATACCGTCCATCCTAAATCCATCCCTAACAGATATTATCCTCTTTGAGCTTTCCCTGTCGGGCTTCACCTCAAAGTTCTAAAACGCCAACTAGAGTTTTCCCTTCTAGATTTCACCTCAAAGTTTTAAACACATTTGCTAGAGCTTTCCTTTCGTTTGCCAGAGCTTTTCATTCTAGGCTTCACCTCGAAGTTTTAAAATACGTCTGCTAGAGCTTTCCCTTATAGGCTTCACCTCGAAGTTTTAAAATGCATCTGCTAGAGCTTTCCCTTCTAGGCTTCACCTCAAAGTATTAAAACGTGTCTGTTTGAGCTTTCCCTTCTGGGCTTCACCTCAAAGTATTAAAACGCGTCTGATAGAGCTTTTCCTTCTTTACCTCAAAATTTTAAAACGCATCTGCTAGAGCCTTCCCTTCTGGGCTTCACCTCAAAGTTTTAAAACGCGTCTGGTAGGGAGAAAGTTTCCACATGCCTATAAAAAATGCTTATTTCTCCTCCCTAACCGCTTCCCCTCAAGGTTTTAAAACGGGTATCCTAGGGAGAGGTTTCCACATCTTTATAAAGAATACTTCGTTATCCTCCCTGACCGCTTCCCCTCAAGGTTTTAAAATGCATATGCTAGGGAGAGGTTTACACACCTTTATATATAAAGAAGGCTTCATTCTTCTCCCCAACCGATGTGTATCTCAGATCTTAATGAAGCAGGCTAAATGTCCCTAATGTTTAGGCGTCTTCTCTCAATTTCTACTAATTCACTAAGTATTTGTAACTAACAAAATTTAAAGAGAAATTAGGGACTAAAACATATGTTTTGACTCTTAATTATTGTTTATTTCCCAAAAATGCTCGTATGACACCTTCACCTAACAACACTACTCTCACTAATCATCAAACTCAGATAATATTGGGCAGTGACTTCAAAGCAGCTTAATACCTGCTTCCCTCACAGAGTCAATAACAGCTTTGATCTTACCATGATATACTTCTGTTCTCTTTTCAAGTGCACACAAACAGCTGGGATTCCCTTAAGCAAAAGCCTCTCTCCCAACAATTTCCCGATCTTTGCAGCAGCAGCCACATCCCTTGTTGACTCCATGCTCGGCCGCAGTGCCTTCTCCTGCGAGCTTGCAGCCGAAGCAACGGTGGCCGTTTCAGAGTGGATCACCTGCGCGCTCACATACTTGTTTGTGAAATGCATCTTCAAGACATATGGCTTTAGATACTGCGTTAATCTTGGTGGCCTAACTGGAGGAGGAATCACCATCTCCCTTACTCTAAATGACATAAACAAAGATGTATCTTAGGATCTTCAATCTTCTCAAGCTTAAGCTAAGCTACCAATTAGTGAGTTCAATAATAAATATGGTTAACCACCATTTATATCATGCTTTAAAGTTTAAAATCCCTTACATAGCTTTCATAATAATGGCAATGGGCAATGGTTTTGATATACTATCTAATTAGCAGAGATAAATGCTATCTGTTCTTCACAAAAATTAAAATGGCACCCATTCATAACGCTAAACCAATAACGAAACCATATCATTGGTTAGTGAAAATGGAGAACCATTACCAAACCAATGAACTTGATTGGGCAAATCCAGATTTCAACTACACTGGTTGGGTTGGATCTATTGGTTCAGTTTCAAGAAATCTGGCCTTTCTGTGCTCAAATCCTAATCTTCTAAGGTTCATATCCTAATCTTCTAAGGTTCATTTTGCAAAGGCTGAATGTGATGTCCCACATTGGTTGGAGAGGAGAACAAAACACCATTTATAAGGGTATGGACGCGTTTGAGAGCCTGGAGGGGAAGCTCGAAAGCGAAAGCTCAAAGAGAACAATATCTGCTAGCAGTGGATTTGTGTTATTACAAATAGTATCAGAGCCAGACCCTGGACGATGTGCCAGCAGAGTGCCAGTGAGGACACTGGGCCGAAGGGGGTGGATTGTGATGTCCTACCTTGATTGGGGAGGAGAATAAAACACCATTTATAAGGGTGTGAAAACCTTCCCTAGGAGACGAGTTTTAAAGCCTTGAAGGGAAGCCCGAAATAGAAGACCCAAAGAGGACAATATCATGGATACGAGTGTTACACTGAAACCTAAAATTGGGGAAAAATTACTGAATAGGGCCAATGCAAAGTGGTTGTCTACAGGTTCGAAATCTGTTCGCCACTACCCTTATAAACATGAATCCAAGTTCAATATAGCATATTCGAATTTTGTCTAATACATTCAACAATATTGAATGGGAAGCCACTTTGTCGAATCTCCTCCAAAAAAGAAAAACAGATTTCAACGAATTCCATTAGTAAAAGCTAAGATTAGATTAAATGCATCTTAAAACTGAGAGTAGCCTAACCCACAGTTCGAAAGGATTTCAAACTAGAACAGATTCGAAATCATTTCATGAACCTAATTCCAAATTTACCCAGTGTTGAGTTTGGTTGAATGGACGAAACAAAAAAGATGAAAGGAAAAAAGAAGAGTTTAGATCCGGGAAGACCTCGACGAAAGACAGGGTCGGTGTTGGCGTGAGGTTGCAGCAGAGACGAAAGAAGATCGGCGGTGGAGCGTTCCGGCAAGCGGCTGCGAAAGAAATGAAGGAGAAGGGTAGAAAGAAGGGTTTAAGTTTTTATTTTTCCAATTTCCATTCTACTCTATTTCTTCTATTTTATTTTATGTTAAACCTTTTCTTTTTGTAACGTATTTACAAAACTATTATTATTATTATTATAATAATAATAATAATTATTATTATTATTATTATAAAACAACTCAATAGGATAGATAGACTTACTTGATGTTGGACCATAAATTATTCGAAAAAATAAAGAAATATAAAAATCGTGATATAATTATATTGCAACAAGATAATAAATACATTACAATTTAGAATTACTTATCTCATCTTTATAACAAAATCTTTAAATTTATTGAAACTAATTTTGTTCTATCGACCCAATTTTGTATCCGTTAGGTATTAAACAAATCATAAAATAATCAAGAATTCTCTCACACAAACTACAGGTTGATCGAGAAGTTATATAAACACTAGAATGGTCAACATATTTTGGATAATTTTTAATAAAACTCGATATTTAAATTTATTTACTTTCCACCAAGTTCGATGAAAAAAATGATAAATGAAAGATAAAAATTATTCAAATATATATATATAATCTATGAACATTTAACATTAGAGACATTTGTTTCGAAATAAACTAAATATATGTATAATTATAATTAATAAACCTATTATAAATATAATTTTTAAATTAAATGATTGTTGGTTATTTATTTATATCATAAACAATAAATTTAAAAATAGTATAAGATATTAATTTATTCAGAGAGGAAGAAACTAAACACAATTAGAAACTAAAAATAATATAATATAATATATTTTAAAATAGTATAAAAAAACTAAAAATAATATAAAAGAAAAGATTAACACTGAAAGTAAATATGGTATAAATTGCATATATTTACTTATAGGAAGTCTTATACTTATTCCATGTTTTTCATGTAACTAAGAACTAATTAGAGATGAGAGCAGACTTGGAGTAGTGCTATAGAGAGTGTCTCCAAAAACTTCTTTGATGTTTTAATGTTTTTGTGGCTCGTTTCAAGATTGACTCGTTTTAAGATTATCCCTGTAAATGTTTGCTGAAACTACCACAGCTAAATGGTGAAAAAGTTCTTTGTTTATAATCATTTACAGTATAGAGAATGATGGTAAATTACAAATAATATGGGAAGAACAATAAAACGAAAGAACAATACATGAATACAATATAGTAAGCCGTAATGCAAGAGATATTTGCCTTATAATAAACGGTCAACTGTCCTTAACACCTCCCTGCAAGCTGAGCGTCGGATTTGAACAAACGTGAATCTTGGATCTGAAAAATTCGAATAGAGGTCGAGAAATACTTTTCGTGAAGATGTCAGCAACTTGGAGATGGGAAGGTACATATTGTGTGCGAAGTTTGCCAGCGATAACAAGTTCTCGAAGGAAATGATAATCTAGTTCAACATGTTTGGCCCGCTTGTGAGAAACGGGATTAGAGCTCAAAAAAATAGCACTTTTGTTGTCACATAAAAGTAAGGACTGCTGTGAAATAGAGATCTTGAGGTCATGCAAAAGATGCGTAACTCAAAGAAGTTCAGCAGCAGTCGTGGCAAGAGCACGATACTCAGATTCACAGTTGGAGCATGAGACAGTAGGTTGCTTTTTGGCACTCTAAGGAACAAAATTGTCACCAAGATAAATAGAATCGTTGGATGTAGAACGACGAGTATCGGGACAATCAGCCCAATCAGCATCTGAATAAGCGACTAACGTACTAGGAACAGTGGATGGACGAAAGGTTAGACCAAAGTGGAGTGTTCCTTTGACATAGCGAAGAATACGTTTGACAGCAAGAAAGTGATCTGTAGTAGGGGCATGCAAGAATTCACTGACAGAATTGACAGCATAGACAATATTTGGACGTGTAATAGTCAAGTACTAAAGGGCGCCAACAAGAGATCTATAGAGAGTAGGATCAGAGAAAGGAGAACCATCAGCAGTCAAGTGTTAAGAAACAACCATGGGAGTGTGGATTGGTTTGCTGTCGAACATCTGAGCACGAATAAGAATATCTCGAGCATATTTTAACTGACTAATAAAGAGACCATCAAGAGTGGGTGAAGCTTTAAGACCAAGAAAGTAACTGAGATAACTCAAATCTTTGGTAGTAACTCAAAATGAAGCTTGCGAGTAAAGCTCTCAATAAGAGATGAGTTGTTGTCGGTAACAATAATGTCATCAACATAAAGAAGCAAATAGATAAGGTTAGATTGCTGATGAAAGACAAAAAGGGACGTGTCAGCACGACTGCAAAAAAAAAACCAAATGTGAGAAGAAATGAGCTAAAACGCTGAAACCAGACGCGAGGAGCTTGCTTTAAGCCATAAAGGGCTTTCTTTAATAGACAAACATGAGTGGAAAATCGAGGATCAATATACCCAGGAGGTTGTTCCAATGAACACGTTCAATAAGTGTTCAATTGAGAAAAGCATTCTTGACATCAAGTTGTCGAAGAGGCTATTTATTTGTGACCAATAGAAAGCACAACACGGACAGTGGTAGCTTTGACAATTGGACTGAAAGTGTCAGTGTAATCAAGACCAGGAACCTGAGTATAACCTTTGGCAACAAGATGAGCCTTGAAACGCTCGACGAATCCATCAGACAAATTTTTAATACGAAACATCCATTTAGAGCCCACGATGTTGGTGTTGGCAGGGTGAGGAACCAAAGTCCAAGTATCATTTTGTTGTAAAGCTCGAATTTCTTCATCCATGGCAGCAACCCAAGCAGGATTCTTAGCCGCAGATTTGAATTCTTTTGGCTCAATGGATGCAAGAAGAGCATAAAGAAGTCCAGATGAGCCTCAAAATATCAATATTAGCTGGATGACGAGTCTTGGATATACCAGCTTTGGCTCGTGTGATCATAGGATGAGAGCCCAAAGAAGAGGAATCAACAATAGGTTTAATAGAGGTTGGATCAGAAGTCGAGGGTGGCAAAGCAGAACCTGCACGAGAAGTGTCAACCTGCACAGACTCATCCACAAAGTCAAAACAAATATCACACGGGAATGAACTGGATCGAGGAATGTGCGATGATAAAGTGGTGTGGGGGGGG